CGAAGGACTTTCTAAAGAAGGTTGATTTGTCGGACCACATCAAGAGCCATTTAAATATACGAGATAAGATTTGCACGACATGCGGCAAGGGATTCACCAGTTGCCATTCGCTCATCAGGCATCGACAAATACATTCGGAAATTAAGAAATTTGTCTGCAAACTCTGTGAAGCCAGATTCTCACAATTTGTAGGCCTCAACTCGCACATGAAACGTACGCACAACATTGTCCGGAACAACGTTCAAAAATCTACCGAGACTGTCGTTCCAGACATTTGAAATACCACTTTATTAAAAAAAGTAATGAAAACAATATATTGCCTTTTAAATTTCCTAGTCTAGCGCTATAAGACGCTAATGTTATCGATATCTGTATACATAAATCGATTAATGTTCGCTATGTTTCTCAACACTAGCCGAGAAGCAGATGAGCAGCTGCATTCAACTTGACGTAAATAAATTATTCGTTTTCGTGCGCTTACTTGAACCGCTAAAAATGGAAATATGCGGCAGCATATTAACCAATACCGACTACACCGAGTTCCACTTGAAGTGCATATATTGTTCGATTGAAAGCGAACTAAAGGATTGGCAACAATTCGTGTATCATACTCGCAATGCTCACCGTTTCGATGATGCGGATGAAGGAAGCGCCCTAAGCGAAAATGAAATCGAATGTGCCCCGGAGGAGCTCTTTGAGACTTTCGCAGACACTGACAATGTCATGTATGTGAAAGAAGAGGGCGAAAGTTGGCCGCAAGAGGAAGAAGTACTTTATGTGAGCAAGATACATATATTTCCTCAAAACGTTTGCCAGTTTTCATTTGACATTATGCATTTTACAGGAAACCATCGACATCTTAAAGCAAGAGGATGACCAATCCCCAATACGAATGGAAGCACCTACGTCCCCTTCCTACAATAGCATAGATGGCTGTTTGGAAAAAATGGACGCAGACAGCTATGACAATGAAAGTCAATTACAGGAGGAAATAGTGGTAAGTAAATTGTATTATGTTTATGTCTATAAAGTATTAAATACTCGAATAAATTTCAGAATAATATGTCAAATGAGAGCGATAACTATGAAGAGGCAAGCGACAAGTCCACTGATTCTGAATCTGATTCTGAACCGGAGGGGAAGCCACTCAGACGTAGCAGAACTAATCCAATGTCAATAAAACGCAAGGTATGAACGTTAACTGTAGAATAAATATATTAATCTTAATTCTACTAACATATAACGATTGTAGTTAAAAGTATCATTCATTCGGCAAAATCCACGAGTACTCCACTTCATCGAAGAATTCAAGAAACACCCTTGCTTGTGGAACCCAAACGATACATCTTATAAAAATGAGAAAGCTGAAACAGAAGCCTACAATGCAATTATTGAAGGAATGGACAAGAAAGTCAATGTGCTTTTCACCGAAATCGAATTAAAGAAATCCATACAACAGTTGTTCAAACAGTTCGCGATTGCCACCCAAAAGGCGGACAAGAACCAACTGACCGGAATGGCTGTACGTTATCTGCGTAAATGTAAATTCCTCTCGAACAGCTATTACTCTGGGGCTAGCGATGACGACGACGAGGAGTCCAAGTCGGATGTAATTCAGGTGAAGTGCATATAATTATGTCATTAAATTTATTTATTAAATATATTTGCATATCTTCTTTTAGCTTAACTTTAAGGAGATCAACGATGTGACCACAACCTTCATTGAAACGTTTGCCAATTTTCCGGTGCTGTATGACAGTTCGCTGCCGGATTTCAAGTCGTTAGATGCACGTACGGAAGCGTATGTTAAGATAGCGCAGCTGCTTGCGCCGGAGTTGCGTGTCAACGAAACTGAGGTTCATCTGGCCATCATGAGATTGCGCAAATGGACTTATATGACGCTGCGTCGCGTCAAGTCGAAGGAATTGCGCCGTGCTTGCACCAAGACGGAGCTGCATTATCTGCAATTGTGTAGTTTCCTGCCGCCCAAGTCGGAAAGCCTCGTCATTAATTGTGAATACTGCAATAAGCGTTTCTTTATCGATTATCTGCTCCGCGCGCACCTGGTAAAGGTGCATGATGTGGGCGAGCTGCCGTATCTCTGCTCCCAGTGTCCGCGTCGTTTTGAGAAGGCCCACGACATGGAGCGGCACAAGTTGCGCCAGCATTGTGAAAAGATGCTCAAGTGTGAATACTGTGATAGCACATTTGCATTGAAAAATGACCTCAATGTACACATACGTGTGCATACAGGCGAAAAGCCTTATGTGTGCGAGCTGTGTGGCAAATCCTTCAGGCTAAAACTTCTGCTCGACTACCACATAAATGGCTTCCATCTGAATCTACGCCCATTTGAATGCGATATTTGTCATCAAACATATCGCAAGAGAGTCCAGTTAAAAAATCATATGAAGGCCCATTTGAATATCAAGGATAAGAAATGTGACGAATGCGGTGCAGCGTTCACCTGCCCGACAAGTCTTTCTCGACATCGCAAGACCGTTCATAGTAATACGAAATCACAAAAATTATGCTAAAAAATCTTCATTCCTCCTCTGCTTGTTTAGTCTTAATAAATATTACTAATTACATAAAAATAATAATATCCGTCCGTGTTAAACATTTGCGCGCGTCTCTAAAGGATTTTATTGTAAATGTCGCTGTCCAACACTTAAACAGCTGATGACTTTTATCGATAACACATTCTTTGATCAACCATCTGAAGTTGCAATTATTAAAATTTGTTTATGATTTCTTGTATTAAATAATTAACAGCATATAAATGTGGTAAATATGTTAAAAATGGTGATTTGTGGTACGGTCCTGGTGCGCAATAATTACGAAGAGTTTGTTTTGAGCTGTGCATATTGCAAAACTAATTGCGACGTGGAAGTAAGCCTCGAAAGATGGCAAGAATTCGTCTATCATATAAGAAATGTACACAAACTGGAATCGGATGAGAGCAAAATTTCCTGCAACAGCAGCCCGGACTTCAAATCAGAGTCAATGCCAATTGAAAGCGAAACCGACGTCGAGGATGATAATGAAGCTGATAATAAGGATTGTTTAGCCGAAGCAGCATTTGTGGATTTGCCAAACGCATCGACCGACAGAGAAGACGATTACGATAGCGAATACGAGTGTGATGAGGAGGTAAGTCCTTTATATTCTTCAAACACATCATTTTAAATAATTACTTACGTTCATTTAGATGGCACTGGAATATCAGGGCGATGCTTCTAGAACCGACGCTGAATGCATCAAAAAGAGCTTTACACCAACTGTGAAAGTAAGCAATTTAATCTATTGCCTTAAGAAAAACGCAACGATTTAAAAAAGTTATATTCCACATATAAATGTATTTAGTTTAATCCGACATTTTATCGACGCAATCCACGGATCACGCAATTCATTGAACTCTATAAAGGACATCCTTGTCTCTGGGATCCCAAACACTCTTCCTTCAAGGACAAGGAGAAACGCACAGCTGCCCATGCTACATTAATTGATCAGCTAAAAACGACCATAAATGTTCATCTCACTCAGTACAAGCTTAAGAAATGTATTGCCAGTCTACATAGCCAGTACGCGACCATAAGCCGTCAGAAGCGTACCAAAAAATTAACAAAATTACCTCTGTATTATCATGAAATGTATAGTTTCCTTGGGAAACGCTGTGATATGGAGGAGGCGGAGAGTGATGTGGAAAGTGGCGACAACAAAATTAAGGTTAGTCAAACTTGAAGAGAATATTTGCATTTATCGTAAAACTATTATCTCTTGGACAGTTGGTGTTCACAGAAACGAATCGGCTGACAACACACTTTATAGAGCTGTACTCGAAGTTTCCACAATTGTACGATCCGGCGCACAAGGATTTCGCCAATCTTAATGTTCGCAGATCAGCCTACATAGAAATGACTGAGCTGCTGGCCACAGAGATTCCCCTGGGCATTATTACCCACTATGATGTTTACGACAGTGTGCTGTATCTACGGCAATGGTATTCCCGCAAAATCAAAGGTCTCACAGAGACGCAGACGATCGGCCTATTGAAGGCTGAGAAGAGTTACATTGAGACATGCAAGAGTTTCCTCAGGACGAAAACATTCCGCCAAAAAATTCCGTGTGACGTGTGCCAGACCAGCTTCAGCACGGATCACGCCCTGCAGGCGCACCAGTACAGGGTCCATAAGCTGGGTGACGGCGGGTGGTTCAAGTGCAGCTATTGTGAGAATCATTTCGAGCGGCGTTGTCATCTACAACAGCACAACCAGCGCGTGCACATGGGCAAGACATTCAGCTGCAGCTTGTGCGAGCGCAGCTTTGCATTTTCCAGCCAATTGAGCAGTCACATGCGCACCCACGACGACACGCACATAGCCAAACCGTTTGTGTGCGAGTTCTGTGGCAAATCCTTTAAGCAAAAGATTCAAATGAGCAACCATGTAACCGCTGTGCACACGAAAATTCGGGCATTCAAGTGCACTATGTGTCCCAAGGATTTTCTAACCAAACGCGATCTCAAGGATCACATCAAGGCGCACCTCAATATACGTGATAAAGTATGCGAGGTCTGCCAAAAGGCGTTTACCAATGCAAATGCATTGGTCAAGCATCGTCACATCCACAAGGAGAAGACGCTGCAGTGCAGCCTGTGCAATACCAGGTTTTCGGAGCGCGTTAGCCTGGGAGTTCATATGAAGCGTACGCATAAAATCATACGAAATAGCTCAAAAGTTGTGGAATCAACGGAAACCGCATTGTATTCAAACACATTCCCACAATCAGAAGATGTTTCACATAAATAAAAAAACACTCCAAAAAATTTCCCATTCGGAAAAGTTTAGTTTGAATAAAATTCCCTTTTTGGCTTTGGCTCTTTTACAACACTGAAATTTGCGGCAACAGCTCCGAAGAAATCAGCTGCTTTTGTTTTGATTGGACTACGCGGCGTGCGAGTTGACGACGAACGATTACGTGCATCGTATTTGCTGACTATGAGAGGTCTTCTGGTTAAACTGTGGAGTCAATGCGACACAGTAGCTCTACGGAGGCTTAACAGTGCGTTGACCACCACCGCCAATGGCCGCACATTCAGCAGATGCTGGGCTAATTCCCGTTTATATGCCACCAGTATTAAAGACAACCCGACACCGGAACCCAGTCAACGTGAACGGCCACACTGTAATGTGGGCACCATAGGGCATGTGGATCATGGCAAGACGACACTGACGGCGGCAATTACCAAAATCCTATCAACAAAAGGTCTGGCAGACTACATACCCTATGAACAAATCGATCGTGCGCCTGAGGAAAAGGCCCGCGGCATAACCATAAATGCCTGCCACATTGGCTATGCAACCGCGGAACGCACCTATGCACACACAGACTGTCCGGGCCATGCGGATTACATTAAGGTACGTTTTTTTTGATATGCATTAATGGCTATCAAACTCAATCTGATTGCATTGTAGAACATGATTTCGGGTGCCTCCCAAATGGATGGAGCCATATTAGTGGTGGCCGCTACGGACGGACAAATGCCCCAAACACGTGAGCACTTGCTGCTGGCCAAGCAGGTTGGCATACAACGCATTGTGGTGTTTATTAACAAGGCGGATCTAGTCGACCAGGAGGTGCTCGAGTTGGTTGAGATTGAAATGCGAGAAATGTTGTCGGACTTTGGTTTCGATGGCGTCAACAGTCCAGTGATATGCGGCTCTGCATTATTAGCGCTACGCGACGATCAGTCTAAGTTTGGTGTCCCCGCCATTGAGCAGCTGCTGCAGCACTGCGACACGTATATACCGACACCCGAGCGGGATGTCAAGGCACCCTTTATTCTGCCCATTGATAATGCATTTACGGTGCCCGGACGCGGCACGGTTGTGGTGGGCACCATAAAACGCGGCACCATAGCGCGCAATGCCGAAGCCGATCTGTTGGGCTTTAGCCAGAACCTAAAGACCACCGTCAGTGACATTCAGATCTTCCGCAAGAGTGTGCCGCAAGCACTGGCCGGCGATAATGTAGGCGCCCTGTTGCGTGGCATTAAGATTTCATCTGTAGAGCGCGGCATGCTGCTATGTGCGTCCGGCTCTGAGGATATATCCAATCACTTTGAAGGCTCCATGTATTTGTTGTCTCGTGCCGAGGGTGGACGCTCCAAGCCCATGCTATCCAAGTATATACAACAGCTATTCAGCATGACATGGAATCTGCCAGCACGCATTGATATCGGTAAGTTCTTTATGGGTTAACTTCAAAGTACCTTCACTACCTAACACCTTATAGTGCCCAGCGAATCTATGTTGATGCCCGGCGAGCATGGTCAGGTGCGCGTCACATTGTTGCGCAAAATGGTCATGACGCCGGGTCAGGCCTTTACAATACGGGAGAATGGAGCAACGGTGGCAACGGGCATGATAACGACCCGTTTGCCATCTCTCGATTTGCCCAAGAATAAGCTATCCAAGGCGCCGGTAATTTGCTAATAGCTCTTGTATTGTACAAATTCTTCCTTTAAATTTTATCGTACACGAGTATTTAATATAAATTTGTCATATTTCAAACAAATGCCAAGGCTTACTTTTTATTGTTTAATACAGCCCAGTTACGTTTGGGGGCTCGTTCTTCAAAACACGCTAATACATATAACTTACAAAAAATATGAGAATACATAAATCGAATACAGAATCTTTACAAATATAGCGCTCTTTATATGTATATATACTTATATATATATATATAGATATATATAAATATATATGTACTTATTATCTTAACAAGTCTCTACATTCCAAACGTTTAAGGCAACAAATCGGCCATTGTATACATATATTTCTGTAACATTTCAATGTTCATTAAGTACATTTCATATATATGAATATGTTTACTTTTCATTTTATGTATAAGTTAAGGTACAAGGTTAATTTATTATTGCAACTTAGGAATGCTTTCTGCTGGAGTTTTACTCCCTCATTTATAATTACAAATAAGTTTCATATATTGCATTGGTTCAAACCCGTTCTAAACACGCTTTAATTAGCTACAACAAAACTAAAAAAAAAATTGGCAAAAATGGCTAGCAGTACGGGTCAAGAAAAAGGGAACTGAATTGTCGATAGTTGGGGCTTTCCTTTCTCATTAAACTAAACAGGAACTACTGAACTTAGACTTCTCACAACAATTAGCTAAGACTCGTATAATACAAAAGAAAATAAGTCACGTCAAATGGCAACATTCAAAATAATTGGTTGAAACGCACTCGCATACTAAATTTATATTTTTGTGAGGAATTCGTCGAGATTTAAATGCGGCGGCAACTCGATCTCCTCCAGCTTGATGTCACTGTACTTGAACATCACCTTGAAAGGATGTATGAAATTTTGATCCATTGTAAACTCATCGCTCTTGGACTGAAAGTGAAAGTGTATTAGAGTAAATGTGTGAATTGAATTTTGCTCAGCTTTACCATTTCCCTAGCATTCAATTTCTGCGTCAGCTTATCCAGAAATACATTGGTTATTTCGCTCTCATAATCATCGAGCTTGTAGGATTTCATAACCTTTAACACCTGGGCAGTATTAAGAGACGTGCACAGATCACAAATGGTTTGCACATCCTCCTCACTCTTGCGGGACTGCAGCAACTGGGAGACTTGATTCAATGGTGCCAATGGCAACAGCACCTCATTTGACTGCAGGATACATCAAAAATTGCAGAGTTAAGCTGATTGTTGACCGACAACTGACAACCATACTACTCACCATCTTCTTGTCGCGCACCCAATCCTCAATGCAGCCCAGATTATAGCGAATTATCATGCCCGTTTCCCACATGCAGATGTCGCCACGCAGCATCAAACAGTTGAGCGCGACTGCGCAGACAAAGTACAAGAGCTGGCTAAATATCTGCTCAGCATAGATACTATCCAAGCCAAAGTGCTGGAACTGCTTGTAGAAGTGCTCCAGTTGGCCAATTAGCTGCTTCCAGGCAGGCACATTTCCGTGCTCGGGTGATGATGACGAATCTGTGTTTCGATTACGCATCCCATGCGCATGGCGAGTGCGTTGAATCTCATCATTGTTTAATATGGCCGGCACAATCTTGGGATCCAGCAGGCTCTGTATCTGCATAACGAGCGCCTGATATAGATTCACAATTAGATCGAGTATAACGCGTCGATATTCGTAGAGATTGAAATTCTTCAATTGCTGCTGATTCTGCTTCTCCGTATTGAATTTAACGTATTCCTCAACATCGCCGTATTGCTTTAATAAATTTAGCAGCCTGCAAAATGATGAAAACTATAGAGAACTGTTTTTGGCAAATGTGTGAAGATCTTACGTTATGGAGTTGACTAGCCAAATGACGCGATTCTCTATCGGATGGGGCGTTCTATGCATTTTCTTGATTTGCATTACGAATTTACTGAGCAGCTCGCGCACATCCTCATCGGCATTGGTCAGATCGGTATAGCTGCAAATAATTATAGATCGATCAAGTTGATATATACAGAGAAATTTTGAGTTGTTTACCGAATGCACATAAAGATAAGATAGGCGGGGAAGCCGGGCAGCAGACCGACCACAGTGCGTGGTGTGAGACTACTCAGCAGACGCTGCAAGATCTTGTCCAGATCGCTGTTGTGGAACTTCATCAGTCCGAGTGGATTTTGAGACTTTTGTTTGGTTACATTGGCGCCCAGATCGTTGTCGCTACTGCTGCTGTTGGCTGCCTTATTGCGTATCATTTCCTCCTCCAGCTGATTCTCTAGCTTGCCGCCGTCCTGCCTGTAGGCCTTCAGTTTGGCATTGGCCAGCTTTAGCTCATCCTGCACCAGCAAGTACTGGGTTATGGCCTTTTTCAGTTCCAGGCGCAAATAACGATCGTTCTGCTTCAGCGTATCAATATTGGCCTGATCGAACTCATCGATGCTCTTGAAAAGAACCTCCTGTAGTTCGTCCTTTTCATTATTGAGCCGCTCGATGGCCTGCGTCATTTCCATCAGCTTGCTATTGTGCTCTTCTGTAATGGCCTTCAGCTCCGATTCCAACTGCCTGTTGACCAGCTTCTGTGACTGAAATGCTTCCATTAGCTCGTGCACATTGCTGGCATCGCTGCCTCGCAGCTGTAGACTCTCCGGTTCAATGGAGCGTAGCGTTTGGCTCTGCTGCAGTAAGACGGCCTTCAATTGGATGCACTCCTCACGTCGTCTACGCACTTCCTCTTGCAGGGCTGCATGTTGTGCTGTGAACACAAAGGAAAAAGAGAGGGGGGGAAGCAAGGGAAGGGATTGGATATAACAACTGCAATGAAGGCCCATGACGAATGTTACCATTGAGCTCGTTGATCTCAACACCGTGTTTAATGCTCGTGCGCAGCTGATCGTAGTCGCTGCGTAGCTTCTCGTTCTCTACCTCAAGCTCGGAGACGCTATGGCAAGTGTGTGGCAATAATATACATAATTGTAATTAGACTAACTATAGGCGTGTGTGTGTGTGTGTGTGATTGTGTGTGTGCGAGTGTTCGTTCGAAACAATTGCCTAACTGCGCGTTACTTACCGGAATGAATCTTCCGTAGGCTTATTTCGACTTGCCAGCTTCACGTACTGCTCCTGCAAGCTCCTGTGCTTCTGCTTCTCCTCCTCGAGTATGGAGCGCAGCTTGACTACAATGCTGGTGCTATCGAAGAATGAATCTACGGGCAACACAAATACGTTAATCTATAATTCAAACTATGCTTATGCATGAGTCGCACCATTCTTATTCATCAACTCCGGATGTCTGTGTACGTCCAGGGTGTTCTTAGCGGAGCCATAGCCCACATCATCTTCGTTTTGGCTGGACGCATTGCTGGCGCTGCGTGTGTGATGCATGCCATAGGCACTGAGGCCGTTATGCTGCTGCTGGTAGCGACTGAGCTCCTCCTTGAGCGAATAGTTTTCATTCTCGATCACCTCCTTGTCCTTGATGGCACGCTGATAGGCTTCGTTGAGCTCCTTATTGTCAATTTCGGTAAGCATGCGCTCTTCGCGGTCGCGTTGACTGCCCTCCGCACTCTTGGCCATTTCGATCATGGAGTCCACTTGCTTGCGCAGCTCTTCGTTTTCCAGGCACCACAATTGCTTCTGATGAGTCCACTCCTCCAGCGAATGACCGCTCTCCTCGAGCAATTGCATTTTTTCATCGCGCTCCGATTCCAACTGCTTGTTGAGCGCCTCGATCAGCTTATCCTTATCCAGACAGGCGGCCTTTATATTCTTAAATTCGTGCTCCAGGTTTTTCTTCATCTCCAGCTTCATTCTACAAAACAGCAGAAGAATACTTAGGTACATTTACTATAAAAATGGCTGTATACAGACTTCAATACGCTAATTTCGCTGGTCTTGTGCTTCAGATTGCTGTTGTCCCGGTTGAGCTCATCGATGCGCTGCTGCATGGATATGATCTTGTTCTCGAGGCCCATGTACTTGTTCTCCATATGCGATATGGTCTTCGCCTCGGCCTTCATGCGCTTGAACTGGCGACGCGCCAGGAAGCGCCGCACCGCCGACTGACAAATAATGATACTGCGACGACGTTTCTGATAGGCTCGACGTGCCAGTACACCACGCACAAAGCGCTGGATCTGCACAGCGCGATAATAGTCCCGCATAGCAAAGAACCTGTTGCGTGCCAACATACCGCGAGCATATTGCTGTATGCCGGCAACAGAGTGGCACAGACGCAAGTAACGACGGCGGCACAGCCAGCCGCGCGCATACTTGGACAATATGAGAGCAGCGCGCGCCTCTCGCAATTTCTGGGCACGCATGCGCGCCATGTAGCCACGTGCATGCCGCTGTATACCAAAGATAATGCCTTGCAGTTTCAGATAGCGACGTCGCTTAATAAAGCGCCGTACCACAGACTGCACTATGGTAATGTACTTCTTGCGCAGATTGGCGCGCACTTGCTCCATATAGGCCACCTGACCGGCCCTAAAGAAAATCTGCGTATTACCAAAACGATATTTATCCTCGTCCTGTATCCACTTGAGTACAATATTGCGGCAGGATTGCTTCATGTCGTTCTTATCGATTTGGCTGCGATGCGCCAGTAGCTGATACCGCATATAGAAATCAGGATAAAGCCAGCGAGAAGGAAATCCGGCTGCTGAGATGCGCACTGTCTCCAGCACACCACAGGCACGCAGCTGTTGAATAATCTTGGCCGTCTCCCACTTAAAGGCAATCTTGTCATCGTTGGGCTGCAATCAGATAGAATGAGTGTTTGTTTGTTTATCATACAATTTGATAGTATAAATCTATACCTTGATACAGCGCACATAATGTGGAGTCGTTGCGTGCAATGTTGAGATCAGCGAAGCCAGGCTCTCTTGGAACTGCGAGCCAACAGTTTTCTTGTGCTGCTTCGAGGGCACCACCTGATCAAGTCAAAGAAATTAGCATTAAACATAAACAATACATGGCATCAGCACAAAAGCACATAAAGTTCAAGTTGCTTATAAGACAAAAACAAAACTAACTCTTCGACGCGTCTCGTTGAGTTGCTGTTGACCCAGTTGGCGATGTGTACATTGGACAGTGGACAGTGGTTGATGGACAACAAGTGTATGGAAATACAGAGTAGCAATACAAATTACATTACAACGAGCCTATTTAAGCAGTTATTGGTGGCCCAGCGATCGGCTCACAAACC